TAAGGTAAGGCTCAAGGGGAATGGAATTTTTGTGTCCCAATGTCCTACTATCCATCTTGTTTACCATCCTCGAAGCTCATATAAACCTCTGACGGTAGCCTTGATCGTCGCTTTTGTAGTCAAACACCACACCTTAGATGAGCACGTCATGTGGACCATCTCTTCGTGTGTACCCAAACTGTCGCAGGGCTAAGCAAGGGTTATAAGTGATACCTCCTCTAATGCTAAACAGATGGACATTAGAGAATTCCCCACAACAGTTGATGATAGTAATGTCCTCCAAGGATCGAGAACACCAGTGGATATCCGAATGTCTGAGTGACATCAGCCTATTGGACCATCTAAAACCTTGCTCGTTCTTCATAAAGGATTAGGGGAGATGCGAAACAAACCATCTAGCCAACATAGGAGTACAACACATGAGGGTTCCTCTTCTCTTCATGGTGCGAGAGTGGAGAGAATGCAAGATATCTCCCAACAAGGTAGGTACTGGATTGTGAGATAAAATGATTTTGACTGCATTCACATCTATAAGTTGCTCAGGATTTGAAAATAGTACCAACCCATAGATGAGAAGAGCCAAAATTTCTTCGAAAGCTTGTAAGTACAGAGTGTTCCAACAGGCTTGAGCTTTTTCCAATAGGAACTTGGCTAGGAACCCTTTGACACCACTCCTTATTTCCCAATTAGCCCTGACGTCGGATTATTGCAAGTGTAAAGCTCGGGAAACCTCTTCAAGTCTTGGATCCCTTTTTGTACTATTGAAAGGTAGTTGATCGAGAATAGGGATTCCCAAGAGTTGAGAGAATTCTTCCATAGTTGGTAAAAGGTGGTAATCAGGGAAGGTAAAGCAATGGTGTAAAGGGTCAAAGAACCGGAAAAACACCTTCATCATATCTTCGTCAAAGCTTGAGGTAACCAAATTGAGAAGTCGTCCATGTCTTTTGGTGAATGAAGAGTTCTCAGGGACCCTTGATGCTAACTCTTTGAGCTGAAAATGTATTCGTACAAGGTTGACTTGGATTGTGTTCCTGCGAGTGGGAGTCATGTTCTACAAAATAGAACAAAGATGAATCTCAAAATCCTTGAAATGGTTAGTCTAAAATTCTATGGTATGATGTCATGATGTTATGTACAAGCATATGCACAAGTTAAATCAAACAAGTCCTTAGGTTTAGGCTTTCATGAAGTTTATAGGTAAGTACCCTCTTGAAGTTTAGTTGGTTCAACATGTCCTAGAAATTAAACAGGTTCTAGAGAATCTCAATATCACTGATCTTTCTTCATCAGGCATTGTTTCAGCGCAAGCCTCTTTATTGCGACCAAAATATATCGAAAGTCTGATCTCAGTGAGCATAGTATCTAGTATCAACCAACTTTGAACTGCACCAAATCCGGCTACCTCACTACTTCCTAATGGCCAAGTTTGTTCAATTAAAAGGTTCTAAAGTCAGATAGTGCTTCATGACACCACACAGCGGCCCCGTATTCTCCTTGACTACTCAAGGACTACTGATACCAACAAATGTGTCACACTAACGTAGCTATTGCTTAGACCATGTCGATATACCCCACACAGTTTCCACAACTTATTGTTACTTACCTAAAAAAGGTGCCCCGGATCTGGGTAGATGATCAAAAACAAACCCAAACAAGGAACCATAATATAAAGCAAACAAATCAAACAATGAAAATCAATTAAAGGTGATCTAGCCCTAAGGTAACCCCATTTTAAAGTATTTTCCCCAATAGAGTCGCTAGTTCTATAACACGGTGGGAGAATTGACTTGGGTGTTTTGCGTTTGATCATAATTGTTGCGGATAGAAAGAGTTTCCACTGACTTTTCTTTTATCCAATAAGGAAAGGTTGAAAAGAACAGGAAAGACCTTTCTAGATTATTTCTTGAGTTCGGGGGGTAGGTTATGAAAAGGGAAGGTATTAGTACCATTTTCATCCTAGTTTTCTATGGGCTCTTAGTTGCTTGCTAGATCACTTGCTTTTTGTTTGAAAGTGTCTTCGTAATGGTTCTCGTCTCTATAAGAACGCGTACAAAGTGTTTTGTCTTTTTTTTAAAAAAAATTTAAAAGTGAAGTTGTGGGTGTATAAAACATTTTTGTTGTGAGCAAGCGAGCAACTAGGAGAATCCTACCTACTCAAAAGGTCTTACGTTCTTTTCCTTATCCTTTAGATGTTTCTATCTTACCATTGATTTGGTAAGAAGCCCCATCATTGAATGTGAAGGGACAGGTGTGGGACGTTTGTATAGTCATGGAAGGCAACCTATGGGACGTTTTAGCAATGTCGTTTAGGGACTAGATCATTTACCAAAGGAAACATTGAGGGTCATTGAGGGACTACGATCTTTTATCGAGGGTCCTTGCTAAACCGCCCATATTCGAGGGACATGACTATTTTCCGAAAGGCAACAAAGTGAGATTACTCTAGAGGTGCTAGTGTGAAAATGTGTTTGATTGCATGCATTTTGTCTTGCATTTAAAGGTTATCTATTTATTAATTTTATCTTGCCATACATCCTAATTACTAACAATGTATGAAAGTAAATAAAATACGGAAAATAAATCCTATGCTATTACATCATTTCAGGGATGGGGATACATATTTACAAATGGGGATTGCAAGAATTTAAATCCTAATTATCTATTACAACCATATTGAATTGTACAATACAAGAAAAAGAAAGGATTTGTTTTGAAAATGGTTTTTTGTCTTAATAAATTAAAAGAAAAATAATTAGTTAATAAAAAGAAAATATTTTTTATGCCTTTTTTATATTAATAAAAATAATATTAATGCTGAAAATAATAAGAATAAGAAAGAAAAGGAAAAATAACGAAAACAGGATCAGCATGTTGCTTAAAACAAAAATGAGAGGGACCAGAAATTCTGATGCTAAGCACGCTGTAGTTCAGAAAGAAATATTAGAGGAAACCAGAAGTTATGTGTGTTGTGTTACAACAGCGAGAAAGAACTAGAAGTTTTGTATGTCGTGTTACAATAGTGAGAAAGACCTAGAATTCTGCGTGTTGTGTTACGATAGTGAGAAAAAACCTAGAAGTTCTGTGTGGGGTGTTACAACAGTGAGAAAAACCTAGAAATTATGTGTGTTGTGTTACAACAGTGAGGCAAATCCTAGAAGTTTTGTGTGTTGTGTTACAATAGTGAGAAAGACCTAGAAGTTTTGTGTATTGTGTTACAACAGTGAGAAAAACCTAGAAGTTCTGTGTGCGGTGTTACAACAGTGAGAAAAAACCTAGAAGTTCTGTGTGATGTGTTACAACAGTGAGACAAATCATAGAAGTTTTGTGTTACACTTCACCTCCTTCCTTATATTATCCAGAGCATCTGCAACTTATTCAGTTCTCAACAACAGCAAAACAGAAAAATAAAAGCACGACAATTTATAGAAGTTTTATTCCTAATTTTGAGCCTAGTTTTCTTTAAGAAGTTTTGATCCATAATTTTTCTACTTGGGCAATGATATATACAATATCAACACTATGATATCTACATTTTAATGATGTTCTGAATGAAAAGTTCAAGGTCAGGATGACTTACCTTGAATATGAAGCGTGTGTTTGGGACTTGAGCTGCTACCTTCAAATGTTCTGGGGTTAGCAAGAAACGGAACAGAAATTTTATGTTATTTGATTCGAAGGGAAGAACAAGGGTTTGATTTTGAGAACTCTGGATTTAAAAGTGTTTGAATGTTTTCTTTTCTCTCTTTTTGTATTCAATAACTCTCTCTTTCCAAAAGTCATCCCCTTAGACGTGTGGCGGAACCATTTATTTATAGATGAGTTTGTTGTGGTTTTGGGGGGGGGGGGGGGGGAACAAATGGGATTTGAACCCTTTCGGAATACTGTTCCATTGCTTTTTAAATACAGCCTTTATGTGCTAATTTGGTGCAAATATGGGATTTGAGAAAAAAGGAATTTGAGAAAAATGCAGGCGTAGACTGGATCAACAGCAATGTGGAGTGTTGTGACAACTGGATGCAGGACTGTGCCATAGCAGTGCAACAGACTGTTCAAAATGAGGTTTTGGGGTTTGGTGATGTTCTAATCGAATAATGGAAAGGTCAGAGTGAGATTCAAAGGGTGATGTTCTGATTGAAGAGTAGAACATAGTCTCCATATGCTGAAGAATGAGATTTGAAGAGTCATGTTCTGATCGAAGAACACAACTTCCATATGTTCTGATCGAAGAGTCGTGTGCTGAATCATTTTTGCAAATTATGATTGCACTTGTGTGAAAACTGGCCCAGAAGTTCTGAAATTATCATATTTTTTTAACACTTAGAAAATTTTCTAAGTGTTTTAGAAATTTGATTTTTTCAAAGTAATTTCTGACTTTTGATTTCTTGATGAACCAATTTCCTGTCTTGATGAAATTTGATTGTTGAAACTTGATTTTGATCCAAAAGTCAAACTTTGATTTTTCAGTGGGCTTTTGACCATTTTTCCCTTGTGAATGACTTTCTGAAAAATTGTAATCCGAGACTTGAAATTTGACAGAAGCAAACCTGAGGATCCAGGATGATCCTTTGAGAAATGAGATGGCAAATTTTTAAATACAACACTAACCTACAAATCTAATTAGAATTAACCTATCTAAGAATCAATTACTAAAATCCAAGAGTGTGATAAGCAAATGGTAAGGCCAAGAAAATATGTAGAACCATGAGCACGGGCCCATTCTACTAGTTTAAACCCTAATAATAATAGATAATAATATGACAAAACAACAAAAAAGAAAATTGGAATACAAAGAGGCTGGATTTATTATTTGACTTTTCCCATGTCCATAGTAATACCAGAATAATAATAAAAGGAAATAAATAAACAAAAGAATCATTTTTATAAGCCTGATGGAAGAGAAACAAAATGCGTCGAAGCGGCATCTCTTCACCTTTTTCGTCTGACTTTTTCTCCTTTACTCTTAGCATCCCTCCAAACTCCATGCTTCTGGTTGATTCACGATGGTGGCAAGGCGGAAGATCGTGTTAGCTCTGCGATTCGGCGAAGAGCGGATCTGGAGGTTACATATCGGAGCTTGGAGAAGCTTCACGCGGTGTGGTCCGGATCTGATGATGATGCGTCGAGGTTTCGCGGCGGAAGTCGGCCGTGCGGGGTATTTGCAAGCACATATCGAAGGGAAATTTTCGGTTTATTTAATTTCGCTGTTGTCTTCACGGCCAGAGGGAGTATTTCGAACAGAGGATAAAAAACGGGAACGGTGACAACAACCTTGCGTAGGACTCATACTCCTTTCTTCTCTTTGTGAGAAAATCTGAAAACAATCAATAAGAGTGAAAATAAGAACATGATCAACATCAGTGAAATTTATTATGCTTCGTTTTGGTTTGAATTAAAGATATGCTCGTTGTTATTGAAGGGTGGTTATGGTGTTATTTTACAGATCCATGAAAATGTTTAATTGGTTTTAGTTTGTGCTTATGTTTACATGGGAGATCTTGTGATGGACAAGTTTATACAAGTGAATGATATGTTAAAAATAAATAGAGATCGTTGGAAGAAAATAATTAGTAAGAATTAGTAAAAGAAAAAATAAATTAATAATGTTAGTAAGGCATAGGAATTGGTACCATCGATAAATAGTTAGATGAGAAAATTAAAATGGTTTTTTTTTGGTAAAATTAGAAGACGATGGTGAGATTTCATGTTACTGTAAAAAAAAAAGTTTGTAGAAATTGGTTAAAAGTTTAAAGACTTGAAGTGGTGTGTGTTATTAGCCACCTTAAAAATGAGATAAAAAAGTGTTAATAAGCAAAACATGAATAATACATACAAACCATCGTATATTCATCATTTGGTTGGACAAACATAATTAAAATTAAAAAAGAATTAAAATATAATAGGGAGGTCGCATATTTAATCCTCGGCCAAAAACGGAGAAATTGTAAATAATTTTTGAAAAGAAAATAGTTTTGAAAGTTTCGTGAAAGTTTTGTTGTTCTAAAAAAATTGTGATGTGTATCGCAATTGAGAAATTGTGAATGAAACTCTTAAGACAACAATAGTCCTATTTATATAGTGAATTAGATTAACAAAGACTTAGAGACTAAGTTATCCAAAATCTCAAAAGAGAGCCCAAAGTTTGATTTCCAAAAAAGGAAAGAAAATTAGTGACAAAATATAGAAAAAAGAAAATGCTGAAAGTGCGGCACAAGAGATTTAAACCTGTGATCTTACGCTTGCAAGCTTTATTCTATATCAATTGTGCTATGTTACTGATTTTTAAATAAACTCAATTTGAAAGTATATGAAATGTGTGAAGATATTTGCTATTATAAAAGTACAAATAATTTGGAATAAATTATTATATTTTTAAATAGGTTGGGAAGCGAATATTTATAAAAATCAAAGAATATTATAAAACCAACGTTTTGAAAATATTTTTTAACCATAGAAATAAATGATGGGTAAATTTGGGGTATGTGTTTACTCTGAAAAATGGTAAACAACCGCTGATCTTCCAAAAGGTTACTTATTTGGTGACTAGCAGGATCGATCAGATTGATCCTAAGACATGGTTGATTTTCTGGAGTTTGACTAATCCTAATGGTGATTAATGTCAGTAAAGTAAAGACACCTTAAGTAAATTGCATGAAGAAAAGCTTGATAGAATAAATAAAAGCGTTAAGTAAAAGGCTTCGACGGAGATAAGTAAATGAAAAGCGATAAATTGCTTGAATATAAAAGACTTGATTAATTTAAATGGTGTTTCACACATACATTCTCAATGATCCTTTCTCACGCTGGGTACTTGAATCTAAATGAGTGACTTGTATAAAATGATGAACACACGCGAAAACTACGTGAACACTTAGTATTTATACTAAAACAAATCCTAAGTAACCGTTGGGCAGTTACACTGCTTCGAGATGACGCCACATGGCACACTCACAACCTTCGACGATTCTGTTCTCGACACGTTGCACTTGGTAACTGCTGGGAACCGTTTTCCCTCCAACAATTCAAATCTCAAACCGTTCGACCTTGGGCGTCAGGGACCCTTGTCGAGAAGTTCCTTCGACGTCGAAGACAACAAGATTCTATCTTAAAGGAATTTCTCTAAGTATCTTGTCATTCTTGGATGAGCCTTCGACATGATCAGTTGGTCGAAGTCTTCTTATGTAGGAAACTCTTCTGACTCAAAATTAATGGTCTATATGATAATAAACATGGGTGTCGAATTTAGGAGCCAACAAATTGCCTCCCAAGAATGTCTTATTTCGACACTTAAAGAAAAAGGCATTCTTTGATATTCCATTCGACACCTGTCCTTTATTCTCAGCCACATTAGTTTGTGTGCTTTTCGTCTCCTACCAACCAACTGACAATCTCAAAAAGCCATCATTTCAACTTTTCCCAAGATGTCACTTCAGTAAGGCATTTAGCACGCACGATGTCCATTCAAATGTTGTTGGAATTTTTTCTGGAGAAATAATTAAGACCCCTACTCCCGTTCCATCTTTATGGCTGGAACCATCGAAGTAAAATTTCCAAGGTTCTATCTCCATATAATTCATATTTTCAACCTGAATCGAGTGGTCGACTATGAAGTCTGCTACCACTTATCCTTTTACTGCCTTAAGAGGCATAAAGGTCAATGAATACTCAGTTAATGCTAGCTCCCACTTGCCAATTCGACTGTGCAAGATGGGTTTCGACAACATGTATTTGAAAACATCAAAATGAGACGAAACATACACATCAACTGGTTTTATATATTGTTTGAGCTTTGTACAAGAGAAATAAAGACATAGACATAATTTTTCAACTTCGCTATATCTAGTTTCTGCATCGTTCAAAACTCTGCTAAGGTAGTAAATGGGTCTTTCGACTCCATTTTCATCCTCTTGGGCTAACATGCTTCCCAAAGTTTTGTCGGATGCAGTTATGTACAATCTCATACTCCTATTGCTACAAGGAGGCACCAAAATAGGTGGCTTGGTGAGATACCCTTTTATCTTGTCGAAGGCTTCCTGTTGCTCTTTCCCCCACTCGAATCCTTCCTTATTCAATCGAAGTAAGGGTGAGAAGGCTTGCGCTTTTCCACTTAGGTTAGATATAAATCTCCTTAAGAAATTTATTTTTCCCAGCAGAGATTGCAGTTCCTTCTTGTTCGTTGGCGCTTTCGCTTCCAAGATTGCCTTTGTCTTGTTCTGGTTGATTTCGATTCCTTTCTTGTGGACGACGAAGCCCAAGAAATCTCCCGCTTTCACACAGAATGCACACTTCAAAGGGTTCATTTTCAGACCATGTTCTCTCATTCTTTCAAATGATTGTTGAAGGTGGTCTATATGGTTCTTCCTGGAAACAGATTTTACAACAATATCATCAATATATACTTGCATGAAAGTGTTAATAAAATCATGGAAGATAGAGTTCATCGCTCGCTGATATGTTTCCCCAGCGTTTTTTAGGCCAAAAGGCATCACTACCCATTCGTAAGTGCCTATAGCATCGGGGCATCGAAAAGCTGTTTTCGACACATCTTCTTCAGCAATGAAAATTTGATTGTATCCTGAGTAACCGCCGAGCATGCTCAGGTACTCGTGGCCAGCGGCAAAATCGACTAGCATTACCGCCACAGGCATAGGATATTCATCTTTGGTGTTGCAGCATTCAAATCTCTAAAATCTATGCACACCCTCAATGTACCATTTTTCTTAATCACTGGAACAATGTTTGCAATCCATTCGACATACCTCGTGGCTCGTATGAATTTGCACTTCAGCAGTCTTTCGACTTCCGTTTTGATCTTCGACAGTATTTCTGGAGCGAAGCGTCTTGGACTTTTCTTGGCTGGCTTTTTCCCAGGTTTGATTGGCAACTGAAGTTCTACCAATCCTCTGTCGAGACCAGGCATCTCGTTGTAATCCCATGCAAAGCAGTCCTTGAACTCCTTTAATAATTGGATCACTTCGACCCTGAGCTCTGGGTCTATTTTGGCGCTGATGTAAGTAGGCCTTTTATCTAACCCTTCGCCCAAGTTGATTTCTTCTAAAGGATCTTGTGCTAACATTTTAATGTTGTTCTCCAGGGGGTCCTTTTCGAATCCCAAAGGCTCATCGTCGTAGATGACGTCAAGCCTTTGATCCTGCATTCCTTCTGTCATGATATCAGGAGGTTCTGGGTCGAAATCTTTTCCAGGACCTATATCTGGTGGTTCTGGGTCGAAATCTTTTCCAGGACCTGCAGAAGGTAGCTCTTGGTCATTGGCCTTGGTGGCCATATATTTTACTTCGGCTTCGAGAGCCGCTATCATCCTTGTTTCGGCTACGTAAGCCGAAATTCGCTGCAATGCTTGTGACTCAGTCATTATCACTGAATTCACTTCCCCAACCAGTTGGATGGATGTCAGTTAGCCCACTGAAATCAATGTGGGACAAGTCTTCTTTGTCCCATTGAAACCCATGATCATGGTGCAGGTACAAGGAACAAAAAGCATTTGGCGCTGGTGCCATGTCGAAGTCAGGTGCTGGGCATGGCCCAATGTGAGCCAAATTTTTGTCGAAGTCAGCTCTCCCTAGGTGATTTATTTCGCCCAAGTAGTAGCTCTGATCTGCCTCTATATTCTCGACAATTCCATCAGGACACCATAATATTAACCTTTGGTGCATTGGTGATGGTACTGCTCCAACACCATGTATCCATTCTCGGCCCAACAATAGATTGTAATTTGGTTTAGCCGATATGACCATAAACATAGTTGGTCGAAGGATGGATCCTACTTTGAGGTCTAGTTGGATCACACCCATAGTGGTCCCTATTCCGCCTTCGTAGTTCGATAGGACCATGTTATGAGGCTTAATATTTTCATCACTCTTGCCTATTTTTCTTAGCATGAAGTGGGGGATTATGTTGATGGTTGCCCCACAGTCCACCAAGATCTTGTTTACAGTGGCTTCTTCGAGTTTTGCCCTTATGAATAAAGGCTTGAGGTGACTTTTCATCGCCTCAATAGGTGGTTCGAAGAAACCATTTTGCTCTTCAGTGCAGCCATTATCCATGACGAAGTAGCATACTGGCCTATGCTTGGCCATTTCTTGTTCGACTTCCCAGTCGTTCGATTCGACCTCCATCTGGCGGTTGAACTCTCTTGGCAAAACTGAGACTATATTCACCATGATGTCTAGGGTGTCATCAGACTCAAAGCCATCTTTGTCACCCACTTCGCCTTGGTTAGGCCATACCAGTCTATTGGTCACTG